GAAAGTGGTCGCTTTTCTGATGAGAGAGTTGTTGCTCTTCTTTTCTTCGATCTCCTGTTGAGTTTGTAGGTGTTCAGAATGGTTTGATCCCTCTCCAGCTGAATTCCTGAGAGGAGACGAAATCCAGGTCTCCTACTCCTCCGCCATCTTGCTCCGCCCCGCCTACTTACTTATTTATTAAATATTTATTTTGTTTATTGTATAGACAAAAGTGGTTTTAAAATATTTAAAAGGTGAGTGTTGTATAAAGAAGAAAAGTTTTAAGATAAGAGAGAGATGGGAGATACCAGACAGCTTTATGGGGTTTTTTTTGTTTGTTTTTTTTAATGTAGTCAACTAAAATGGTTGTTTTTATTTTAATATCCTGGCCTTCCTGCTTGCTTGTTTTTAAATTGCCTTTTTTTAAAATTTAAATTCAATTAATTAACATAGTGTATTATTAGTTTCAGAGGTAGAGGTCAGGGATTCATCAGCCTTATATAACACCCAGTGCTCATTACATCCCATGCCTTCTTTAATGTCCATCACCCAGTTACCCCAAGACTTTCATATTTAATTCATATGTTGACTTGTTTGCTCTCTCCTTTCTTTAAAATCTCTGTTAAGAGCACGGTCTGTCCACAATACATCCCTGGAGCCTGACACTTTTCAAAGTAAACCATACATGCAAGGGCCCTGAGGTGCAAATGACTATGACGTACTAAAAGAGCAGGAAGAAGGCCAGTATGACAAGAGGGAGAGGGCTGGGAGATGAGCTAAGAGAGATAGGCAGGGCCAGATCACGAAGGCCTTTGTAGACCACAGCAAGTGGTTTGGGTTTAATTCTGAGTATAATAGGTGGCCTCCAGAGAGTTGTAAGCTGAGAGGCAGGTGGGGTGTGGCAGATAATTATCTGATCATATTTAGTCTAAAGATCATTCTTGCTGTTGTATGAAGAATAGACAGAACAGGAGAAAGAGTAAAGCAGGGGGACCAGTTATAATAAGGTTACTGGAACAGTCCAAGGGATGAGATTGTGACTTGGATTAGGGGGTAGCAATGAAGAATGGACAGAAGTAGATAGAAGGCTTATGGATGGATCTTGGCGATTTGTTGATGAATTGGGTATGGAATGTGGGACAGAGAAAAAAGGCAAGGATAACTCCCAAGTTTAAGGACCTGAGCAACTGAGTGGATGGTGGTGGCATTTACCGAGATGGGAGAGTCTGAGGGAAATATACCTTGGGTGAGGGGCTGGGGTAGAAAATGAAAATTTTTTTATGTTTTTGTTCCATGAACACCAAGGGGCAGAGAGGCTTTTTTCTTTTTTTCATCTTAAAGTATTTTTTTAATTGAGATATAGTTGACATATAATAATATATTAGTTTCAGGATAATAATATTAATAGTACAGCATAATGATTCAGTATTTTTTTTTTAAGAACTTGGACTTCAGTATTTTTCTCTCTTTAGTTGGTGTCTTAGTTTGGGCTGCTATGATAAAGTACCATAGACCAGATGGCTAATAAAGAACAGAAATTTATTTCTTACCATTCTGGAGGCTAGAAGTCTGAGATCAGGCTCCATGGTCAGGTTCTGGTAAGGGCTCTCTTCCAGGTTGCAGACTGCTGACACATGGGCAGAGAGCAGAGAGAGGAAGCAAGGTCTCTTGTGACTCGTCTAATCCCATTCATGAGGGCTCCTTCCTCAGGGCCTCCTCTAATCCTAGTCACCTCCCAAAGGCCCCATCTCCTAATACCATCATACTAGTCAGTATATGAATTTTGGGAGGACACAGTCAGTCAATAACAGTTGGGAAAATGAAGGGCTTTAATCAGGGGAGGGACTTAGTTTTCATCTTAAGCAACTGCTCTGGCAGGCAGGCCTGTGGATGATGTGTGGAAAGGATGAGATTAGAAGGAGTCAGACCAGTTGGTGATTTAGGCAAACAAATCCTGGGCCAACCCTAGAGCAGTGGACACAGGAAGGGGCAGAATCGGTGGGAAGTGGTGATGGACAGATAACCCAGGTGGCAGGAAGGGGTGAATCTGAGATGACATTCCCATTTCTACGCTCAGAGACATCCAAGGAGAACTGGGTTTGAGGGGTGTGTCGAGGTAATTTTTATCCGTTTGGATCTATAGCGACTTGATTTTTCACTTTGCACACAGCCACCAGCAGTACACCTGAATACTGGGTGAGCTTCCCCACTAGGGTGGGAGTGAAGTTGGTTGGAACTCAGAAAGCTGTAGTGGGGAGTCTGAGTACGGTGACAGCTCACGGTTTGCCCTGGGTCCTGTGTGCCAGCATCTCTCTAAGCAGCTGTGGCCCTGAATGACTCCTGGCTGTATCAGATTGCGTGTCCACTGGAGGAGGATTCAGGGAGTACGGAGATACGACTTCAGGAGGAAAATCTCTCATCTTTGGAGAGGGGGCAGTGGAAATGGAACGCCAGATGTGAGGAGCCTTCTCTGTGGATGACACAGTCAGAGCTCCTGTAGAAAGATGCCTCGGGTGGAGCTGACCTCTCCCTGAGCTCTCATTTCAGGGGGTGTCTTCTCCCACCCTTACGTGCTACGGCTTCTTGTGTGTTCTGGGCTGGCTCCTTTCCTTCCCTGTCTGGACTCCATCGGGTCCTGCTGATATGTCTTGGTTTTGCTGTTCTGTGCTAGAGGCATTGACTGTCTTTAAATCCTACTCCGGTCCCTTGTGTTTCAGCCTGAGAGGAAGTTCGGCGTGGTGGTGGTTGGCGTTGGCAGAGCCGGCTCTGTGCGGATCCGGGACTTGCGGAGTCCACATGCTTCCTCAGCTTTCCTGAACCTGATTGGCTTCGTGTCCAGGTGGCTGGCATTTGTCTTGTGCCTTGTAATTCAGGGCAAGGCCAGTGAGGTGAATTAGGGCTTGGGACATAGAGATTCTCCAGACCCAGGAGAGAGAGAGCCGGCTCTGGGGTCATTCCAGAGAACCGTGCTCAGGGTCAGCCCCACGAGATCTCAAGTTGGGATGGGTCTGGGAGCTGGAGTGCTGTATCTGCAGCTGGGATATACAGCAAGTCAGCCTCGAGGGGACTGTGAAGACAGAGGCAGGGAAGATGAGAGCAGGGCCTGATGGTTACACAAAAGGGGCACAATGAACACATGGTGGGTCGGCCTAGAAAGAAGGCTATCAATGTGTGCCAGTTAATCATTCTATCAGTTATCATGACAGCCATCCATGCAATGGCCTTGGGCTATGTGACATAGATACCATTATCAACGCCACTTTACAGATAAAGAAAGGGAGCCACAGAGAGGTAGAGAGGTTATGTAATTTGCCTGTGGACACACAGCTAGAAAGTCTAAAAGTCTAAGACCTGGATTTGAACACAGGTCTATTTGATTCCAAAACCCATCATCTAAGCCACGTGTATCCTTTTCCCTTTGATAACTTTGAGCCTCGCTTTTATCTCCTATAACTTCATTTATCTGCTATAACTCAGTCAAAACCAGACTTCCTACTGTGTTTCTTCTTCTCTGACCCACACTCACTCAGCACCTTCCTCCACCACTCACCACTTCCTTACATACACCACTCACCAAACTAACACCGTATAATGTCATTTATGAGTGTTAATTGTGAACAAGATGTTGTAGGCACTGTGTTGGCTGAGGAGAGAAGGTGGGGAGCAACTTAGGCACCTCTCTCTGCTTCTTAGTGCTTTAGAGAAATCAAACAAAGCATGAATAACTATTGTGATGGTCCACACAGACTATCTGGGGCACTAGAGAGACCCAGAAGTGGTGGGAATCTGCCCTTGGTCAATCTTCTCCCCTCAGTAAGATTCTTTTTTTTTTTTTTTTAAGATTTTATTTATTTATTTGTGTGAGAGAGAATGAGAGAGAGCACATGAGAGGGGGGAGGGTCAGAGGGAGAAGCAGACTCCCTGCCGAGCAGGGAGCCCGATGCGGGACTCGATCCAGGGACTCCAGGATCATGACCTGAGCTGAAGGCAGTCGCTTAACCAACTGAGCCACCCAGGCGCCCCCTCAGTAAGATTCTAAGGGACTTGCACATAAGTGGAAGATCAAAATTATTATTACCCAGCACTGTAACTCCCATTGCACCCCTACCTGAAGCTGGGTTGAACACAGCACTTGGGCTCAAGGCTGAAGTGGGACCTCTCCTTGTCGCTTAAACCCCAGTCTTCTGCTAGCTGGCTGCCATGACTGATATAGTGGTAACTCCTAAACTATTCAAGGCATGTGGGAAGATGGCCAGCTCATACCCCCTGCTTTACTGCACCCCTGCCTCTGTCACACCATTCCCCTTCTCACATACCCTGTTTCTCATGACCTACCTGCTGAGTCCTACCATCTCCCCAGGAAGCCTACTCTGAAACCCTAAATTAGATGTCCCTTGCCTTCATTGAATTACCCACCTGAACCCCCAAACACAACATTTCTCATGTTCATCTTGTATTGATGTTATATATTTACATGTGTGTCTTGCTTCTTCTCTTAGACTGTGAGTGAAGTCTGGTAGTCATAGTGCTTGGCCAGATGCTTGGAGCTGGCTGTGATCAGAGGGACCACTTCTCATGAGATGAAAGGAGATCAGTTGTTTTTGTTTTAGAGATGGAGTGATTCAAAGACTGCCATATCATAGAGGCTGTTCACAGTAGTGTTGGCACTCAATGCTGGGTCTCTTGACTTAAACCCCGAGGCTGTTTTTTCTCACTCTGTGGTGGAAAATGTCCTGGAAGTGGGAGGGAGGGAGGGAATTCGTTTCTTCATTTCCAAAAGCCGGCTATCAGGACATCGTTGAGGGGAGAGCAGAAAGATGGTGCTCATTTATTGGATATGCTGTGTACTTTTGAGGTGCATTTTTGTTATTCTCAAATAGACGAGAGCTTGGGAACATTGAGGAAGTCCAGCAGATTTCTTTGGAAGATGCCCTTTCCAGTCAAGAGGTTGAAGTTGCTTTTATCTGCAGTGAAAGCTCCAGCCATGAGGACTATATCAGGTGGGTTTCCAATGTAGGTAGTCCTTACCTTGCCCAGTAGTGCAAGCGAATAAAAATGACGGGGCAAGCTGAAATCTCTCAAAGAAATTTTGATAATTGAAGGGAAAAATTACAGTGGAGCCATTACCTTTAAAAAATGTCAAAATGCTCAAAACTCTTACTGTTGGTTATAAATGTATAAGAAAATGAAAAACTATGTAAAACTGATATTTACTTAGTACACTGTAATTTAAAACAATACGAGGAATTAAAGAGTGTTCTTTGTAAAAAATGTATTGACAGTAGGTTGAATAGTGCTTGTCTCTTGTCATAGTAGGATGTGGAGCCACCATCTTTTCTGTGCTTTGGCAAATTGTCGTAATCCTTTCTAAGTTTGGCTCAGCTGCCAACATTTTATCCTTTGTGCTTTTAACATTTTAAATATCTCTGAGAGTTCCTTTAGTATGAACTGTTTTTGCCATGAGATAAGTGAGGAAAGAAGGTAGTGGTGGCATCGAAGAGGGGAGATGACATTATGGAGCAAGAGAAGTGACAGGTCCCCCTGCCCCACCTTCAGATGCAAAGCCTAGAGCCCTTCAAGCATTTGGTGGGACTGAGCCTGGAAAGAGGAGCCCCACGCATAACTAACAAGGCAGTTCCAGCCACTTCCCAACACCCAAGCCTCTGCATATGCTGCCCAAAGTGAAATACCCTCATCTTGCATGTTGCACCTGGAAAACACCTACTCCTATTTCAGATGTTACTGAAATCTTTTAAGACTGCCTCAGGCAGAGCTGGCTGTTCATGGTTTGGTAGGCTTTATTTATGGCTATCATGTGATAATAGGCAGGCAGTTTACAGGTTAATGTCTTTTGTTTCTCCTCCAAAGTAGCTGGCAAATAGTACCTAGTTGAATATATGAGTAGGTGAATGGATGAATGTTCAAATTAACACATAACTCGAACGCCTCTTCTAGCATAGGAGAAGGTAACAGGACGTACAATTCATCCTCCTTATCCTCTGGCCGTGATTCGCATCTGCATTCCTTCATGACTCAGAGACTTACATGTATTTATAACAGTCTGTTCTCTGTCATGCAGGGCATTTTAGTGAAGCTTACCTGAAGTGTATTTTCTCTCTCTCTTTTTTCCAAAGGCAGTTCCTTAATGCTGGCAAGCATGTCCTTGTGGAATATCCCATGACACTGTCTTGGGCAGCAGCTCAGGACCTGTGGAAGCTGGCTGAGCAGAAAGGTGACGTATATCCTGTCGAACACAGACCCTCTTTTAGAGTTCCCGCATGTAAGATGTCTCTGGTACCATCTTCATGCCTTTAAAACTTAACCTTATGTCACATATGTCCTGTGGGCTCCCAGCTCCCCCAACACTCCCCTGCACTGTAGGCGCACATAATGGGTGTGTGTGGAAGGCCAACAGGGTGGAGGGATGAGTGGGAATTGGCAAACTTTTGTTAGAGACTTTTCTTTTACTCTAATGAAAAATATGAATTAGCTGCGACTTATGCTATTGTCATGATATTATTCCGCTGTTATTCATATGATACTTACATTGCTACTGGAAAAATGTCCAAATCAGAGTCATTGATTGTCTTCTCTGTGCACACTCTGTAGTTTGAATTGTTTCTCAAGAGGAGTATCATTTATCAAATATTTACTATATGCCAGCAACTCGGGAACTCTACTAAGCACTTTATATATTATTTAATTTAATTCTCCTAGAAACCCTTGGAAGTAGGTATTTTCTCGAGCTTATGTAAAGGAATGTTACATAATTCCTTATATAAACAAACCCATGCTTCAGAGAAGTTAAGTAATTTGTGCCAGATCACAAAGCTAGTAACATGATTACGAATTGGGAGAAGCCGATTTGAATTCAATCCTTTCTGGCTCTGAAGTCTACGTTGTTCCTTTAAGCCATACTGCCCTCCAGAGATTTTTGTTTTTACAATACCTCCACAAGTTCCTTTATGGGGGCAATGAGAATTAACTAGAATGTTTAGGGATTTCAGGATCTAGTTAAATAAAGTTTAAATGACAAACTCTTTGTTTCAACATGTGCTATTGAAAATCTTTAATATATAAGCAAAGTATGGTGAACACTTACATGAAAATCACCGAAGAAAGCACCTGGCACTTACCACCAGTGTAGACTGATCAGACTTTATTGGAACTCTTGTAGCACTCTGTAGCACTGAGAGGTACTGCTGAAGAACAGAACCCATCTTTCCCCTCTGTAAGCCCCAGCGCTAAACACTGCCTAGAACTGAGTAGGCCTTCAGGAGGTGTTGGTTGAATGAGCAGATAGATGATTACTGATGTGAGTGAGAGGAGCTTTGAGGCCATCACCTTTGTGTATTATTTTCTCATGGCACAGATGTCCATGGACAAAGAACAAGATACTAAAGAATACCCCATAGATTTCTTGCTAATTGCAAAGAAAAAAGTGTACTTTTACAATGAAGAGCTCTGTTGTTATCATCCTAACCAAAAGATTGCTAATATGGGTCAATCTGATGTCACAAACCATTTGATGTGATATACACAGCATCAACCATATAATTGAGATTACAGGTAATACAGGGATAAAGGAACATATTAAATAACAGTGTAAAAAAAATCAAGCAAACTAGAATGTGGAACACTCTACAAAATAGCAGGTTGTTTCTTCAGAAAGACAAAGTCTTGCACATAGTGACTTCCTTCCAGAGTAAATACAGAAAGAAGGGGAAAAGAGTACACCTTACACTGGAGAAACCAAACACCACTACAGCTAGTTGATCAAAATTAACATCAACAGTGGTAAGTCATGATAAGATGTACCTTCAATATAATATGATGAGAATGGCCCATTACCTCTGTAGTTTTCCTCCCCCAAAACATAGCCTCAGTGCAGTCATGAAAATAGCAGCAGAAAAATCCCAGTTGAGGGGTGTTCTACAAAATGCCTGACCAGTACTCTTCAGAACTGTCAAGGTCATTAAATAACAAAAGAGGTTTAAGAAACTTTCCAACCGGGCTGCCTGGGTGGCTCAGTCGTTAACTGTCTGCCTTCGGCTCAGGTCATGATCCCGGGGTCCTGGGATTGAGCCCCGCATCGGGCTCCTTGCTCCGTGGGAGACCAGCTTCTTCTCCTCCCACTCCCCCTGCTTGTGTTCCCTCTCTCACTGTGTCTCTCTCTGTCAAATAAAAGCAAAATCTTTAAAAAAAAAAACAAAAAACTTTCCAACCTAAGAGGAAACTAAGACATGATGACTAAATGTAATGTGCTATCCTGAAACAGAAAAAGCACCTTAGGTATAAACTAATGAAATCTGAATAAAATATGGACTTTAGTTAATTTTTTTAAAAATGAGAAAAAGATAATAAGGATCAGTGTTATATTAGAGCCTTGGTATTAGCTCCATGAGCAAGCAGAATCTGGGTGGATATGTAGAGATCATAAATGGCTTTAAAAAAGAAAAAAAGTTCTTAGCAATGAAACTGACCTACTGTTCTCTAGGCAAGTATTTATAACTCATATTAGAACAGGATAGTTATTATGCATGAGATACTGTGCTTGACAGTAGGAATAACAGAAAGATGACCCTTGCCCTTGAGGGGCCCACGTTGCCAGATGTTCACAACTAGCAATATTAATTTCTCCACTGAAAGTGAGTTGAAAATGTAATTATAACATTTACATTGTAGCCCAGAAAGTAATAATTTTATTCAACCCAGCATACCTAAATGCAAGATCATTTTGGATAGCTAAAGTTATGGATAATTTAGGACTAATGTCAACAAGATTGTGGAATAGGAAGCCCTTGGACCTCATTCCTCCACGGAGACACTGACTTAAGAGCAATATGTAGACCATGTTGCCTTTGTGAGGACTCCAGAAACCATGTAAGTGTTTGCAGTACCCCAGGCATACACAAAGCCAAGAAGAGCTGCATTGAAGCAGGTAAGAAAGTTCATTGCATTAGCTCATCATGGCTCTTTCCCTTCCCTGGCACAGCATGGTATGATCAGGACAAAACTCCCAACTCTTAGCTTCTCCCTTGGGTGAAAAGAGAAGAGTGGAACATGTGTCCAATATTCTGGTTTTTCAAGGGCTGCTTGAGGGACTGATTTCTACCTCTCCTGACTTGGAGTGCTGAAAGAAATAGTAGTGTACTTTAGATGCAAGGTTGGGGCTGCTAAGAGCAAGGCAAACATTGTGGCTTCTTACAGATCAGAGAGAGTGCAGTATTGCATAAAGACACCAGGGTGAGCAAGAGATTACAAGTTTTTGAGAACAGAGGCAAGCCTCTTTCAGTTGGAAATTACACATATAATCCCAGAGAAGACACATCCCCAGAAAAGATTTGAGAGACCCCTTGAATTGCTAGCCTGGCTGATTGGTGAAGGTCTTTTCCTTGTACAAAGTCAGTCTGTAAAGACTGGAAGAAGTGGCTGTTTTTCCAAATAGTCAGATCTCAACAAATGATCACAGGGCATAAAAAGGAACAGGGAAACATTGGCCTCTCAAAGGAACAAAATTAATCTCCAGAAACTGATCCTAAAGAAATAGAGATCTATGAATTACTGGACAAAGAATTCAAAATAACTCTAAAAAATGCTCAGTCAGCTAAAAGAGAACACAGACTAGTAAATAAAATCAGGAAAACAGTGCATGAACAAAATGAAAATATATCAACAAAGAGATGTAAACTATAAAAAGGAATAAAAAAGAAATTCTAGAGATGAAGAATATAATTGGATTGAAAAATATGCATGGGTTCAACAGTAAACTTGATCAAGTGGAAGAAAATTGGTAAACTTGAAGATGGTTAATTTGAAATTTGAGTCAAAGAAACAAAAAGAAAAAAGAATGAAGAAAAGTGAAGTAAGCTTAGGGACTTACGGTACACCACAAAATAGATCAATATATGCATTATGCAAGTCCCAGAAGGAGAAGTTCAAGAAAGGGTTAGTGAGCTTATTTGAAAAAAATAATGGCTGGAAACTTCCCAAATTTGAAGAAGGAAATGGAATACAAATTCAAGACAGTGAACTCCAACTAGGATAATTCCAGAGATCCACACCAAGACACATTATAATCATACTGTCAAGATCACAGATAAAGGTAAAATCTTGAAAAAGGCAAGAAAAAAGTGACTTGTCATATATAAAGGAGATCCTGTAAGATTATTAGCAGAATTCTCAGCAGAAATCTTATAAGCTAGAGGGAGTGGGATGGTGTATTCAATTTGTTGAAAGGAAAACAACTGCCAACCAATACTATATTCACCAAAACTGTCCTTTAGAAATGAAGGTGAAATTAAAACTTTCTCAGACAAATAATAGCTGAAGGAGTTAATCACCATTAGACCTACTCAACAAGAAATGCTAAAGGGAGTCTTTTAAAGTGAAGCAAAAGTATGTTAAACAGCAACACGAAAGCATACAAAAATAAAAAGCTCTCTGGTAAAGGTAAATATAAAGACAAATATAGAATCCTGTAGTATTTTGTTGGTTCATAAATCATCTTTAATTCTGGTATAAAATTAAAAAGACAGCATAAAAAATAACTATAAATCTGTTAATGGATAGACAATATAAATAGAAATATAGAAATAGATTATTATAGCTAGATGTTTTATATAATCCCCATAGTGACCACATAAAAATATCTGGAGAGGATACACAAAAGGAAATGAATCAAAACACATCACCACAGAAAAAATTAACAAAACTCAGAAGAAGACAGTAAGAGAGGAAAAGGACAAAATACTGTAAGACAACAGCTAACAAAATGGCAGTAGTAAGTTTTTTCCTGTCAGTGATCACTTCAAATGTAAATGGTTAAACTCCCTAATCAGAAGACTTAGATTGGTTCAGTGGATTAAAACAACAACAAAAAAAAAACAAAAATAAGGTCCAACTATATACTATCTACGAGAGACCTCAGATCCAAAGACACACATGGCCTAAAAGTGAAAAGATGGAAAAAGATATTCCATGTAAATGGTAATGAAAAGAGCAAAAAGTCGTGTTTGTATCAAACAAAATAGGCTTTAAGTCAGAAAGTGTCATAGGAGATGAAGAAAGACATTATATAATGATAGAAGGGTCAGTTCACCTAACATTAGAGCTCCCAAATATATGAAGCAAACATTGTTGAAGGTGCACAATAATAGTAGGAGACTTCAGTACTTCACTTTGAGTAATGGGTAGGAAAACCAGATAAAGATCAATATATGAAACCGAGGA